CCCTGAGCAGCAGCTGCTGCTGGTTCCTGCATCCCACTGAGCCCAGTGGGACCCGAGCCCAGGCTGGCTGCAGTCACTGCCATGCACCCCTCTAATTTTCTTCTCTCCTGCTTCAGAGTTTTTATCCCTTTCCCAGGCAGGGTAACCCCCAGGAGCTCAGCTCCTGCTGGAAGTGCTGGGAAGGCGAGATGGGCTTCAGCTTCTCGTTCCCCTGCTGCAAACCAGCTGCAGAGTCACGGGTGGAGGGATGCACCCACTGCGTGGAGGGATGCACTCACCCCTTCCCTCCCCAAGTAATGTCGCAGAAGCGGGACAGCAGCACACTGGGGTCTCGTACAGGGAGGGCAGGGCCCCAACAGGGCTCCTCAGCTGCAGGATGCGGATACAATAACCTCGTATTTGTTGAGCTGCAGAATTAATCCCCATGCGAGGGGTCAGCTGTAGACAAACGCTCTGTGGGGTGGCACTGAGCGGGCAGCTCATCTCTCCCCTGGTCCTCAAGTCCGTTAGCCATGCTTCCCTTCACTCGTGTTGCCGTGATCCCAGCAGACACACGTGGAGATCCTGAGATGTCTCCGGAGGGTGGTGGGTCTCTGCGGCTCTGGTCAGGAGCGAATCCCCATGGTGAGAAAAGTCCCTCTTGGAAGCAGCGAGCTGCCTCATCCTCCGGCAGCAGTTTGCCCATTGCAGCGCCCAGCCTCACCCCCAGCATCGCTGCTGCCCCAAATGCAGCAAAAGGGACGCAGCTCCCACAACAGCTCCCACGCGGCTGAAATCTGCAGCTTTTTGAAGTTTTTCCTGCTGCCTGCACATTTTCTCTAGTCCTCCTTTGGCTACAAGCTGCTCTGCCTCTGCTCGTCACCCGGAGGGTTCAGGCTTTCCAGGTGTCCTACTACCGCCTCCTGCACCAAGACCAGCAGCTCCCACCTGCGTGGATCGGGACACAGGATGGGAGGATGCGGGACAGACCATCCCTCTGCCCATCCCTTCACATCAGATCCCTTCCAGGCGGGAATGCGAATGAAGGACAGATCAGTTTAACTTCTGCAGTAGGAATCACGGTATGTTATTAAGAGAAGGGAGAGCAGTGCAGTGCGTTTCCTTCTCTGCCATCGCATTTCCTCATCCCTTGTGGTCTTGAGGCTGCTCCTGCTGTGGCTCCTCTCTGAGCCTGCGCTAACGAGCACAGAGAGCTGCCTCCGCTGCCGATGCACTGGTTTTGAACGCTGCCTTGGTTTCCCCTGCACTTAACAGCCCACGGGGGAATAAGTCAGCGCTGTTGAGGCCAGGGATGAAGGCTCAGTCCTACTGGGTCTCTTGCCAGATCCAACTCAAGGTTTGGCTAAATCTTTTACCTGCTTTTGCCTCTGTTTTCTTAAATGGAAAGATCCTCCTGCACCCATGGCAGCATGTCTTGTAATGCTCGGGTCCTCCGCAGAAAGGCTGTAGAGGACTATCCCACTGCACAGATGCTGGGGACACCAGAACGGGTTTTTGCTGGGGTCTTCTTTGGAGGTGAGGCAGAGGGGATGAAAAGAGGCAGCGATTCTGCAGTTTCTTTTCATTTAGAGGCTGGGGAGTTTTTCAGGCAGGCTCCAGTGAACAGTCTCTGGCATCTCTGCTTGCGTAGAGCCCCGTTTCTTGCCCCCAACAGTCTGTTAACTGGCATGTAACGTGAAGCATATGCAGCCAGCAGCTATCCTGTAATTAAGACTGCATCGCTTTCAAGGGCACCGTTAACCCGAGCATATACAAGCACGTGCTAAGAAGCCTGATGCTGCAGTTAGCTAAATATACCAGTGAATTCTCACCCACGCTGGATACAAAGGACGGGGGACGCGACCAAGGAAATGGTAGAGGCAAACCAACCACCTACCCTCACCGTGGCTCACAGACACTGGAGGTGGGATGGCAGCAGAACGTCCTCCCACCGCGGAGCGATGGCCTGGAATTCCAGAGAGCCACCGTCTCCCACCATCGGATGGTGCACAAGGCGCAGAGCTCTCCCCAGCCCCTGCGCACGGGGCGGTTTTCAGCTGAATTATGCCTTGAGTGATGGTTGTTTATATTCCCCTTGCTCAGTCCTTTTCTATTCTAAGTATCTCCAATCTGTTTTTAGTCTCATACTTCTCTCAGATGGTAACCTAGTGCAGTTTCATCAAACCTCAGTTTGTTGGCTTTTTGGAGCAAACAGGCTCATTTTACCTTCTCCAGCTCTTTCACACAGAAAAAGAACAAGCCATAAACATTTAGAGATCCATTTTCCCCACTCTCTCATTAGACGATTTTTTTTCCATCTCTTTACATTATTTGGGCCATATATTTTAGACTCCATTTTTTTAATACTTTTTGGAAATAAACCACCACACTTTCAAAAGTGACTTCAGAAACAAAATCATTCCTGTCTGTGAGATATAAGCGGAGACGGACAAAGCCAAACCCGTGCTCATCTGTCCCTCCGCCAAAGCTGGCAGGGTCACTTTGATCCAGAAGACACTTAACTCCATTAGCATTATATTCTAGCTGATAAACCCAACCCCACCACAAGTCATCGTACACAACAGGCCACTAGACTGCAAGATGAGCAGAGGTTAAACAGTCATTATTTTATGTTTAGAAGGGAGAGGAAATTGCAAAGCCACACTTGACTGCCAGGGGAGGAAGGTGGGAGACACAAGAAAACCTGAAGGAACTGGAAAAAGAGTTCATTCTCTGCACGCAACCAACACTGCACCTGAAAATGATCCAGCTCTGTGATGGACACAGTTCACCTGCAGCAGAACAGCAGCAGTTGTCAGCTCTGTGAGCTTATCTTCCACCCTCCCTTTTCAATCACTCAGAGCTGAGAAACGAGCAGCGTATGAAGCAACTCTGGTTCCAGAGGAAGTGGTAAATTTAGTCATTGGGGTTTTTTTAAGACACTTCTGCATTTTCAACAGAAATTACAAAGTCTTAAACCTTGTAAAGCAATGTTGTGAGCCAGATAACCCCCTCCAGACCACAGCCTGTCTCAAGCGTCAGCACAGCAACACTGTTAAGAGTAACTAGAGCATGTAAATAAAAAGTTACGTGCAAATGACTCTGTGAACTACCTAGGCTCAGAACTGAATTTCAAATGGTACAGTCACCTGAAGACAAACGATCTGCACAGAAGCCAGACCATGCTGATACCTCTGATAAGTGTGCTTCATTTCTCCACCAGTCATTACAAACACAGAATTTTATAGGCTGAGCACTTGGCTCTAACACGACATGCAGGTCTGTGCAGCTTCATGGACTTAAAAAGTGATTTGCTTTTAATTTGTCCTCCTAAGATCTGGCTCAGCAGGTTTTTGCCTCACTTTCCACATACAGCCTTCCTCCTCGTATCCTAGGCACTGCACTGTAAGAAGTCTTTGTACAAATCCTGAAAGGTAACTACAAATAATTCCGGTCACTCGCCTTTGGAAAACGATGACCCGCTAAACGGACAACAAAAAAGACATTCAGGTTAATTTGCTATTATTACTGGATTAAATGCTAGGCAGACAGAATTAAGAGTAGTAGGACAAAATCGTTCATCCTCCAAAATCATCACCTCAAGGAAACAATTCCCTTCAGGGAAATTGCCCAGCTGAATCTTCACATCCAGATCATCAGAACTCCAGGTCTTCATCTGTCAACTTTAAGAAACTTTCAGTTAAGATAAACTTTTCCTGTTTTAAGGCCATAAAATATCAGTGCAGGGTTTTCCCGCTCTCTCTCTCTCTCTCTCTCTCTCAGAGTTAATTGCCTTAATATCCCTTTTTTAATCACTGCTAATGAGCACCAAAACAAAGAATCAGTTTTTCTTTTTTTTTTTATTATTATTATTTCTAGCAGACAATTTACATAAAATTCCCCTTTTAAGTTAGTGATTCATAACTTCCTGCAATAAACTACTTAAGGAGCAGCTTTGGTAAAGAATGGAATGAAACAACCAACCAAAAAAAAAAAAAAAAAAGAACAATCACAGCTGTTTTGAAACCAACACAATTCACCAAATTTAGATTCAAAAGAAAATCTGCCAAGCTGTATTTTCTCAGTGTTTCCAAATATTCCACCTTCCTCCTCCCTTTTCAGGTTTGTGCAGATGTGGGAGCTGCATTCTGTCAAGCAGTTTGTCCTGCTAGATCACGGAAATCCATCTTTACATGATTCGTAGACCTTGAATAGAGGACTCTAAGGTCTTGAAAGAGAGAAAATCTTAATCACAATCTGCTACGGTATCCTGTATTAAATAATTCAGTGTAAATGCTGATGCTACGAAAAACAAGTAAAAACCCCGAATACTTGAGATTAGACTCACATTCAAGAGCCAGAGACCACTATAGTCGTTCATTTCAAACTCATGCATATACAGACCAATGATTCCACTCCCTTCCCCTGAAACTGCATTAAAGCAGCTTATATATCACCTCAATTTCTTATTTGGTTCCTGTCCTCACCAGAGCTTTCTGGCATTATAGAATACAGACGAACTATTCTCCTAAAAGGCAGTGCACAGCTCTCAGCAGCTTGGGGAGGCCAGCAGAGACCTCTGTTGGCCAGTCCTCAGCAAAGCAAGCACTTGCATTATTAAATCTTTTTAGGGTTTTCAATGCAGTGCTTACTGTATTTTCTAACTGTTTGAAGTAACTTCTTACTATTTTGATGAGTTAATTATGAGAGGGCAGGACCATGTTCTGCAGAAAGACAGTGAGCAGAGTCCAAAGGGATGGGAGCACGAAGGGGCAGCAGGCCTTGTCATACCAATGATCTTTCCAGCCTGATTGTGGCTGAGGTAGAGGTCAGAGAAGGAAAGAATCAGTGAGCTTCCTACAGGGACATTAAGTGATTCCATTAAAAAGTTAAGTTAGCACCATCTGCTATGCAAAGTATATCTGCATTTATGCTGAATCTTGGATCTGTCGTCCTTACGGAGTACACTAATGGTCTTGAATATTCCAGTCTGGATTTCGTACTGCTAATAAAACCTGCATTAGCGCTGAGCCCTAGAAGTTGATGCTAGAGATCAAAAAAACCCACCACCGCACCCAGTTCACATAAACACGGTAGTAAAAGCATACCTTGAAATCCCAGATGGTCATTGCTCCATCAATGCCGGTGGTGCAGAATTTACGACAATCTCGTTTGTCTATCTCATAAATAGACACTTGGCTGAAAACAGAGAGTGATAGCTGTTACACAGACACCCATTCCAGAGAGCCAAAAAGCTGGGAAATTTGGGCAGAATTCAACTCCTACTCTCTCAAAGGGAGACATGAGTATAGCAGAGCTTACGCTAGATTTTTGGTACAATGCTTCTGAAAAATAAGCAAAGAAAAAGGATGCTGAAAGCTCTTTTATTGCTTGGTGGCTGTAGCCTAAACTTTTTCCGTGAATAAGACAAATTGCTTCAGAAATGTCAGCATCCTCTGGGCTCACATACTTTTTTAAATGCAAGGATATTTTACTCGATTAACCTGAATCAAACCTTCTGATGAATAAATACACATGGAAATAACATCTGAAATAGGAAACTGGTATGTGAATTCCTGTTTCAGGTGAATTTTGCTGACTAGATTTTGCACGGTGCTACCAACCTCTTGTGAGCTATCTACATATTTGATAAGATAAACTGTGTTCAAGTTACAGAACACATTAAACATGAGCAAACAGAAGTAGCATGCATGCCATGTTAATGATTAATTTTACCAGCTTCCATATAAGTCCCAGAAACAGACAGCTGTTAGTGAAAGACTAAAATGGAAATGGGATACCCGCTAAACCCATCTGGTATGGCAAATTTGAGCTCTTATAGGTTTGCGGTATATCCTGGGAAACCAAAGTTACGTGGAGAGCGTTCCTTCCCCTTGTGTTGGCAGCCAAGACACTCACGTTATACTGTTTTGGTGCAGTGTCTCCAGGGTAGTGTTACGATCTTCTGTAGTGGCTCTTTTATCCATGTTTCGGAAGCGTTCCATAGCGGAAATATTGCGCTGGATGCTCTGTTTTGGAATGTCTAGTTTGGAAACGAAGGTCAACAAGCCACGGTCATCACAGTTAAAGAGCATCGGGCAGCAGTCGTGGCCCTGCAACCAGACATCATGAAAGCATGTCAAGAAACATAACCAACGTAATCACCATTTCGTTTTTCTGCTGCTCTTAATTGCAGAAATGCAAAGACTGACACTATGGAAGAGCTTGCTCATTACTAACTTTGTAATGTATGGTGCTTCTCCCTCTCCAAAACACTACAACACAAGAAGAAAATAATAGACACTTACAGCTGCCACCACACTGTTCTCAGAGACAAATGACACACTCAGGAGTGGGAGGAACTCTGTTTTCAGCTGCGAAACCCTGAACACAAGAACATTTGTTAGAGGACTTCATTGAAACCCTCATCTTTGGCTCCAACAAAAAATAGAGACCGTTCCCACACATGGCTAATTGGAAAAGCAGTATAGCTCAGTTGTCCTGAAGTGACACCAGAAGGTTGTAATTAGTAATAAAAAGTTTTAACCTAATGAAAGTGTCCTGAAAGATCTATAACAAACATGAAGTTTTCCAGGTGAAACATTGAAATTATCCAGCACCGTGTGTAAACAGCAGCAAGAGTTTATAAAGAATACACCCCAAAAAAGGTTTAAATTGATGAAGCTATTCATTTCATTTGCAATATAAACCCACTTGAAATTTTAGTGCTTGACACCATCTTTTCAGGAGGAATAAGCCTGTATGTTGAACTAAATCAACTTTTGTGATTTTATAATAAATGAGAAAGGAATTCTAGAACACTTCATACTCAATGATATCCCCAGGCAGGTACTTATACAGCTAATAACTAGCAGAAAGAGCATACTTACATCATATTTTTTGAGGCATCAGCAACTGACACAGTACTATCATGACTGACCCAGGCTAGGCGGTTACCGCTGGCAGAAAAACTGACACTATGCACCCATCCGCCACTTCCAGCACCCCCAAATTCTGACATCAGCTGCCCAAAAGGCATTTTGGAGCCCCATGGTGTACTGGCTGGTTTTTCATCCACTTCTTTAATGTAAGCAGAAAACACCCTGCAAATAAAAGATTTCAGCATGAACAAAGACAAAAAAAAAAACCTCCTGGGAGCTGCATATACATTTCATATTGAAAACAAGAAGATTCTAATTCTACCAAAATAAAATACTACGGTGTCTTTAAACAAGCCACTAGCAGCTGGGAAGCTTCAGTATAGAGAGAAAGCAATAGTACAAAGGATGGAATGCATACAGGTTTCTCATAAATGTGTCTTTTATCTTTCTCCTTTTTTCCAGAAGATGGCACAAAAACATACATTGTCATTGCATTTTCCACTGTGCTAAGATTTCCCTTTCCTCCGTTTGCGGTGCTAATAACTCCCAGAGTCAATTCTTCAGTTAGAGAAAAACGATGAATTGCGCTGTATAATTAGAAGCTAATACAAACACCTACAAAATTACCCACTTTAAGAACATTCACTTTTTAGCAGGATTTCAAAGAAAGAAAACTGATGTTCAAATGCCAGCAAAGGGGCTCTGAACCATCTTATTCTGGCTCATTACTGAAAGAATGCCTTGAAAACCTGAAATACCACAATGTTTTTATAGTTTTTTTCCCAGCACTACAATTTTCAAGATATGTTTAAATAGAAAGCCTCCCCCTTTCATCAAATTCCTTCTGCATGATTCAGACATGCCACAATATGGTGTTCTTGACTGTTACCATGGAAGTTACTGGGACGTCACACACATAAGATTAGAGTCCATTGAATAGGAGGAGCAAGTGAGGTACGCCATACTACTACCAGAGAAACATTTCAGTATAAACGAAAAACCGTGATCCAATATTCATGGTTGCAGTCAAACACAAAAAGGAATTGTTTCATAGTGAGTTTAAGGAAATGTTGCTCCTCCTCCCTGTTTTTTAAATCTTTTACATGTGTGGGGTATGCACTTCAAAAGGTACCTATATTCAGCTTATTCAAATGAAGCGGATCATTTGGAACAAGAAGGGTTTAACTGCAGCTATATCAGGTACAGATTTTCAGAGAACTAAGTATGAATTTATATTTGGCTCTATCAGTTTAAATATAATCTAATGATAATCTTTCAATAAACTTAATTTTATGGAGACATCTAAAAGGTTGGTTCTCTTAACGTATGGAAATAGGACAAGATGTTTAAAGCAACAGCCTTTCACAGAAGGCAGAAAAATCATTCCTAAATAGTGAAAGACCTTGAAGATAACTGTTAGTTTAAAAAAAAAAAAAAAGTCTTTTCCCTTACTAAAGTCTCCTGCTCTTTTAAAATTAAAATCATCTCAGCTTGAAGGCCCCAGCGTTGAAAGACCATTGGGAAATGACTTTAATTCCCACAGCAACATTGTTCCAGCAAGAATATACAATTCACACCTATGCGGTGCTGTTAGATATATAGATATATAGATATATAGAGATATATATATATCTACACACACATATTTCTAAAAACAAATGTAAGAGGAGCTCATCTAGGCCAGCCACCAAAAAAACTCTGCTGAATACCTATCAACATGGAGTCTCTTCTGCCCTCCATTCTTTTTCCAAAATGTCTCCCACTTAGCTGCTTATTAGTTGGCAGTGGCTCTGGCAGATCCATTTCATAATTTTCTTCAGAACCACCTATCAGAACAGATGCATACTTCAGGCCCAGATATCTTTATTATCTTTAATATGTAACTGAACATTCCCTAGAACTGGAATTCTAGAGATCTGTATTCATCATTTAGCAAAGAGAATATTCTTTCACGGTGTTGGGAAAGAAACAGAAACAAAAACCCAGTACCAATCTCCACCGCTTTTCCTTTCTTGAATATTTCTATATGGAGATTTCTATGATAAAAGCAGCAAAATTATTAAATGATTCATCCTAAAGTACAATGTTAAGCAAGAGCAGAAAGTTTCCCAAATGTTTTAAACCAAGATCTGTTTTTTTCAAAATATACACCATTTGTCAGAGAAATAAGATGCAGGACAGAATGAGTTTTCTCATGGGAAACAAAAGACTAAGCAAGTCTTCTAGAGAACGCTCCTAGGAAATTAACTGAACCATATCTTGACTTCCTCCCCCCCTCAAAAAAAACCCCAAAAAACCAAACCCAAAAAACCCCAAAATCTATACTGAACAGAAAATAATTCAAGTCTAACTTCTCAACCAAAACAGCAAAGAGGAGATAATCAGGGATGTAATGTACGTAATAA